CGTTGCCCGCATTTTCAATTGATGATAACCAGATCTCAAGTCAATCTTAGAGAAGACACAAGCACCTTGTAACTGATCGAACAAGTCATCAATGCGAGGAAGAGGATACTTGTTCTTTATGCTTACCTTGTTTAGTTGTCTGTAGTCTATACACATTCGAAAACTCCCATCCTTCTTCTTCACAAACAAAACCGGAGCACCCCAAGGAGATGCACTTGGTCTAATAAAGCCTTTGTTTAACAACTCTTGAAGTTGGGCTTTTAACTCTCTTAACTCCGCGGGAGCCATTCTATAAGGGGGTATAGAAATGGGGCGAGTACCCGGTTCAAGGTCAATACAGAAATCAATATCCCTATCTGGTGGCATACCAGGAAGATCTGCAGGGAACACATCCAGAAACTCACGGACCACCGAAACTGACTCAATCGAAGGTACTTGGGTAGTGTCATCCTTGATATGTGCCAAGAAAGCTAAACACCCTTTACTAACCATTTTCTTAGCACGAAGAAAGGAGATGATACGCACCGGATTGGAAGTGTAGTCACCCTACCAAACTAACGGATCTGTCCCAGGCTTGGCTTACAGTCACCGTTTTAGCATTACAATCCAAGATCGCAAATTGCGAAGAAAGCCAAGTCATACCCAGAATTACATCAAAATCATCCATTTCTAAGATAACCAAATCTACATAAGTGTTGCTCCCCACAAAGTTCACCAAACAAGACCTATATACCTTTTCAACTACCACAGACTCACCCACCGGAGTAGAAACACGAATAGGCATATCAAGTAATTCACAATGTAAATTTAGACCATTAGCAAATGAGGAAGATGCATAAGAAAATGTGGATCCAGGATCAAACAATACAGAAGCCATGCAATCACAAACCAGAAGATTACCTGTGATGACAGCATCAGTTTGATATGTCTGATCTTGGCTTGATGCATTACCTTTTGTAGTTGAAAGAATATGCAGCCTTTATGGGATGTTGTTGTTGGAGATCCACTTTTATGGAGAAAAATTATCATAGTTCATCCATTTTGTACTAACATCACAAATGATATCCTTATAAACTTGACGAATACAGCTCAAGTCCATCTTTATTCTTTCAATCTATTTCACTGCTCAAAGCTCACTGATGTTGGTTTGAAGCTCAAAGGTCAGTTGTTTCTCTTGTGTTTTTTGCTTAGTTATTAGGAACTGTATTACCTCAACAATTATAAATAGTAAGAAATCTATTAAGCACACAGTTAATTTAGAAACCCTAACTTGTAAACCACACTTTTTCATACTAAACCTATATGCAATTTGAACTTCCATGTTGAGGTCTCTTCAGCCCACCTCAGTACTTGTTAGGTTATTCCAGGGCCTTGTCAAAATTTGACAGACAAGAGAAATGTCCTCTAATTAATGCAACACTTGAAGAAAATAATGCTTATATATAGTAATAACTAAGCTCTCTATAACTTGTGTAGGAGTCTTTCATTGTTCACAGACGAGAAAGACAAGTGAGGGAGAAATGGACAGTCTCCATGGCTTCACCAAGTAAGCATCGCAAACCCCAAATGATAATTCTTGAAAAATATCTATTGTGTGTGTGATTTCATTTTGTTATTTGTTGTATTTAGTATTGGAATGAAACATATCAGAGAGGATTTAGTATTCCTATGGTCTACCCCATCTATTTAGTTGTTTATTTCACATTATTTCGTTGTTGTTTATTTTCCCATATGTGTATCCCTTTTTCAAACTATTTGGCGTGCTTTAATTTATGCGGAGTTTTTTTATCCACAAGTTAAGGGTAAGATATGTTTATACTCTATCCTCTATAAATCCAACTTGGCGAGAATTTACTGGGTATCATTGTTGTTGTTGTTGTTATGGTCTACCCAAACTATTTGGGATTAATGTGTATATAGTACGAGTAGAACTTTTCCAAGAGTTCCACTTGATTATTAAAAACTTTGTTTTTCCAGCTTATATTTTGTATATCTACAACCCCTCTCTTTCGCACTTCCACATCATGGAACAATTTCATGAATGTTTGGACTAAGGTTGCAGCCATGGCCCTCTAAACGCAAAATGGATAGAAATCAACCCAAAAGTTGAAGAGATTTTTGTGGGATTGAATTAACCAACCTGCCTTTTGTAGGCTAGCTCTTTTTGTGTCTCCAAAATTTCTCCGTTATGACATAACTGATTTATCTAAATTTTTCTTTCACTTTCATCTTCCATATCTTCCATCTCGGCTATGTTTGATTTTGTGTTTCCTTATTTTTGTAAGTTGGATTTCACTAGGCATATTGTTATTGATGATGATAATATTTTTCACTAAGGAAAATATGGAAGAGCTCCTTCTAGTGTTGATAGTTTTAGATGAATAAATATCAAGGTGGAAAGCTCCCATCTTAAAAATTGAATTACGATTTTGCCTCTCTACTAAATTAAGAATTTAATTAAATAATAATATTTTAATTATCTAAGATTGAATTATAAAAAATTATAAATGCCTCTTTCTCATATTAAAAAATGAAATTGACCTAGATTTAGATTGAATTGTAATCCAAAAATAATAGCAGAAATACCCTAGATTAGGAACGCTTTCTCTCCTAAGGAAGTTTTCAAACAAACTAAAAATTCAAAGTTTCTCTTTCTCATATCAAGATGGTGATTTTCTAATCGAACAAAAATAAACCGTAGTCGGTTCTAAAAGAAGTAACTATATAAAAACCAACTTAACACAAATATAAATTGGTTGAAAAATAAATAATGATTATCAAATAGTAGGAAGATATAAACAATATGTTCATATGTGATTTACCATTTCCTTGTATTGCTAGCATAGACCTTTTCTTTTATGAACTTCATCGAAGTGATAGAGTATTGACACAACATGAGGAAATATTTTTCCATACACTCGACATGCAATTAAATTAGTACAAATCACCGTTATGTTTCTCTTAAATAAGTTGAATTAATATATGATTTTAACTTATTTAAGTTAAAAATAACATATACTTATACTAATTTAGTTGCATGTCAAGTGAGTGATAAAAATATTTCTTTATGATTTACCCTAGTCCACTACTCTATCATTTTGATCAAGTTCATGGAAGAAAATGTTATATGATAACAATACTACGAAATGCTAAAAAATAATGCATGAATATGTTAGCTTATATAGTATTATTATTTGATATTCGTTATTTATTCGTCGATAAATTTATATTCGCGTTAAGTCAAGTTTTTTGTTAACTCTTTATGATCGACTATGTTCGATCAGAAAATCACAATCTTAATAAGAATTTTGAATTTTTAGTTTGTTCAAAACTTACGATGGGAAAACATTTCAATCTAGGGTGTTTCTCCCTTCTATTTTTAGATGGTGACTCATTCTAGATCCACGCAAATCAACATTTTTAATATGTGGAAGATGGACGTTGAATTATTAGTTTAAGTAAAACTTCCTTACAGAGCAGCGATCTATTTAGACTGAAGTCAAAAGTTATATGTAGGAGTTGTTCACCGTATTATAGTTATGACACCAATACTACCAAATTTAGCAACTAGATAGGAGCAATGAACTCTCTTTGCTTATAATACATGCCAATAACCATCAAAAAATAGAAGAGAGAAACAACCTAGATAGGAGCAATGAACTCTTTGCTTATAAGACTTGCCAATCACCATCCAAAAATATAAGAGAGAAACAACCTAGATAGGAGCGTTATTCCTTGTAAGAATGTTTTTAAACAAATTAAAATTTCAAAGTTCTTCTTATCAGTTGGTGATTTATGATCTAACAAGAATGAATCATAGTCTGTCCTAAAAGATTTAACAAAAAAAAACCCGACTTAACACATATAAAGTGATTGGAAAATAAATATAATAATGAATATCAAACTATTATATAAAATAGTAATAATATATAAATTAATATGTTCATGTGTGATTTTACCATTTTCTTGTATTGCTAGCATATAAGCTTTTCTTTTATGAACTTGATTCAAAATGATAGAGTAGTTACACACATGAAGAAATATTTCGCAACACACATGCAATTAAATTAGTATAAATTATCATTATGTTTCTCTTAACTAAGGTGAATTAATGTATGATTCAGCTTGATTAAGAAAAATATAATGGTAGTGTATACTAATTTAATTGCATATTTAGTGCGTGATTAACATTCATTTTATTAAGTCCATTTGTTTCTTTTTTTAAAAAAAAAAAAACTCTTACTGATCTTAATGAGTCTGAATGATCGACTCTATTCAAATATTAAGTGTTTCTTTTCTTAAACAAATTCTCTTCTTCGTTGCTTCTCTTCTGGACAAGTTTCAAGTTTCTTCCTCTTCTTTTAAAACCAAGTATCATTTTTTTTTCTTTGAATAAGTTTTCATAATCTTTTACAAGTATTTATTTAATATTTCTAATATATAAAATATCCTTGGGTGAATTGATATTTATGAAGAAACTGTTCTTGTCACAATTTGTTTGTTGTCAAAACTTCTTCAGAAGAAGTTATCATTGTTTCTTGAGAAAACATTATTTGAAAAAACAAATAACTCATCTTTTTTCTGGGTTGAGTGATAATCTTATTCTTGAAACAATTGTTTGGAAAAAGTATTTTTTGTTTGGATCATAACTATTATTGACATAGTGTTTAATTTCAAATTTAAAAAAATATTAAAAACAAACAATCTTAATGATTTAGTGTTCAGACCTAAAAACTACATTTCAATATCCAGACAAATATTCGACATTTTAATCTTAATACTAATCTTAATATTCAGATGCCGCATTTAGATTCAGGCCTCTTAATTTTAACGAAAACAAATAAGGCCTAAATCTGCTTAAGAACCGGACCATATTAGGTGTATAGTACGCAATCTTACCTAATATTTCTGTCATCCAAAAATATTCATTTGTTCAGGTAATACTCCGCAGCATTAGGAATTATGTTATGCTAATAATATTGAAGCAGGACAAACATTTTCTGTCACTAAACAGTAAAATCCATTCTTATATATACAAATTGTGAGGATTGGAAGCAAAACATTAGGTTGAAAGTGAAAAATAAATTGTTAATACACAAGTTGTACTACTTATATACATTTTAATTAATAAAGAAAAAAAAAAGCAAGCCAATACCCCTCATTTTTTTGTGAAATTATACTAGCTATTAGAATAACGACAACTATCATGAGTTTGAATAGAACAGAACGGATACATAATATTCGAGTAACAATATCTAATTAGCTTAAAGTTGAAGCATATATATAATCGAGTTGATTTAACCCGTTAAGAATGCACAAAATCTCTTCATTCCACAGCAACATCAGCTATATGAAACCAATTTCTTTGGAGGAGCTCTACAATCTCTTCATCTCTGGATATTTTAACATGTTATATTAAGTATCATAAATAAAATTAATTATATGGTTGTATTAATTAATAATGTTGTATATGTTCTAATTATTACAATAATAATGTTACATATATATACCTTGATTTAGAAGGAGACTTTGGGGGTTGGTGACAAAAACGAGGGCCTTCATCATATCCTTCACATGTGATTTCTCCATATTCATCTCTATAACAAACTACACCCGTTGACTTATCTTCAAATACCTATATATATTCATATAAATATAATAAATATATTACGAAAAATCAGTAGACTTTTGTACATAAATTGATTGATATTTGAAAAAAAATAAATAGTAGTACGAATAAGAAGTGAAATTGATTACATATAATTAATGTAAAAAAAAAATAGATCTTGACGTCTAACTCAATTAAAAATTTAGCTCATGAACGAAGGATATTGCTCAAATCCTTATAAAAAACCTTTCATTTCTTTTTCACGTTCAAAACTGGACATCTGATGTATGAATAATTTAATATGAAGGTCCAACATCAATTTCGAATTATTGGAATAACTCCTACTCTATTACATGTCTAGATAGACACTAGGTCTTATATAATTTGATATAATATTAAAGTAGACAAAGGTCTTGGAGATCGAATCCACCATCACCTTTAGTAAAAAGAATGAATTACCTTAAGCCCATTTTTCGAAGTTGATTTGATCTGACATGGAGTTGTTGACGATGACGATGATGATGATGATGCAAACACTACTCGTCTATGGACAGGCAATCTTACTGTCCTTGTTGTAAAAGATGATTTGGTAACTAGAAAAGATGTTGAAAGAGAGTTTACCACAGCCATTGAAGTTAATGGAGAGAAGAAAAAGAAGAAGAAAAGAGTGAGGAAAGCTAAGGAATGTTAGTTTATTGTATGAAGTATAGTTGTTGAGGGACTTTATATTATATAGTTTTTTAATTTTATTTTATAATCAAGATAACATACTATAACTTAATCTTGCTAGTACTGTTTGGGGAAGACTTAGTACACATTACTACTTTTAATTTGTAGTACCTAACAAAAAGAGTTTGGATTTTATTTGCTTATAATATATATTATAATATATCTAACTGCTTGGTGCTAGAGTTTTTTTTATTTGTTTTGGTAAGTTAAAATAGATGATAAATATTAGTTTCTTTGTTATAATTTATTTGTTTTGTTTTGATTTGAATTAAATCGTTTAAAAAAATAAAAAGAAATTTTGAATCTTGTGATCTTAAATTAAAGATATGTTATATGTACCAAAATGTGTTTTAATCGAATGTTCTTAAACATGTCAAGTAGAAAAATTATAGATAAAAGAGTTATTACAAAATAAAAACTTTTTTTTAATTGAAATGGACTAAGAATAAAAGCATGACAAATAAATTGAAATGAAGAGAGAATACTTGTTTCGATGGTTGTTATCTATTGAATTGCATTGTTTTTAGATACTATATTTGTTATTTATTATTATGTTTTGAATTTGTTTATATCATATTGTTAAATTCATTAGGTTATGAGATAATTAAAATTCTCATTTTATATGTAATGACTGAATTTGATATGATCATGTTGTTATATTTTCTTCTTTTTTGATAATATTATAAATTTATTCTTTAAATTATTAATCTGTATCATAATATATATATCAATAAAAAATAATATAATCTATCCAAATATATTTAAAAAAAATACAATATAATACGATATAAAATAAGTTTCAACCATCCATAGTCAAACCAATAAGTGAATAAATTATATATCCTCAAGAAACATAGTGAGTTTCAAGTCGGAATTGAGGTTATATAATGCTTTGACTATCAACATAAAATAGATCAATTATATTTTGGTAATAATAATTAGCAAAAGGAATATACATATAAATTATAATTATTGTTGGAAATAATTATTGGATCAAGTCCATGGTCTAATTTCATTCCATTAGTTATTTAGTTTGTCCTCTTCTTTAATGCTAATCCAATTTTTTTAATAAAGATTCCACTATGAGCATAGGAAAATATAGTTTCTTTCATATTAGATGACGATTACGATTAATAAAACGTTATATATCTCTAAAGAATATCTAAATTGTGAACAAAGGATGTTCATCCATATTGTGAGAATATTTGACAATTAATAACGCAAGTCATGATTACTGCAGAGTCACTTCTACTTTAAAGAAATTCGTAAATCTTCTGAACTAATATTTACGGTTCATGTACTATAACTATTATATATATATATAAAGTTATAAATTATGTCATTAAAACTATATCATGAAATTTAAATGACTCTTGATGGTGGTGAGGAGTCAGTGATAAGATGTGGTAGATTAATAATGTTTATGTTGTATTTGATTAATTTTCTTGGAATGAATAAGAAGCTATCAAACCTAATTGGGTGCAAAAGTATATGATATGTTCACATAATAATCAATTACATTATCTGATCATTCTTTTATATGATAATTGGTTAGTTATTAAAATGAACATAATTTGTCTTTTCCTTAATATATTTTAGTGAACCTCGTTAGCACCACGTATATATTTGTAATATGACAATTTCTTAAGGTCGTTAAAATGTCATTCTAAAATAAATTTGACTTATATATTAGTTGTTGAATTTTATATATATTCATGTCGAGGAAACAACTAAGACACTTGTATAGTTCCTAGAATGAAATGGATGAAGATAAAAAATTTAAATAATATACAAAAAAATTGAATTATCGATGCAATAAAAGGTTTAACCAAGTATATATCATACAAAATAAATTTCTTCTTTATTATCCTCTTATTAACTATACTTTATTATATAAAAAATACTAGGCAATTATTAAGCCTATAACTTCTGTTGTGCGGAATTTGATATAATACGAAAAAATTTAAACGCGAAAAAACAAGACAACAGATTTACGTAGTTCATCAATAAATTGGCTACGTCCACGGGAAGAGGGGGAGCAGTTTTATTATGGAGAGGCAAGAACAGAATTACAGAATAAGATTTGCCATAGCGTCTATATATAGTGCTAAACTACGCCCTAACAGGTTCACTTCAAGGTTCAAGGCATTCAACAACTTCAAGGATTAGTTGGGTTAGAATATATATATATATATATATATATATATATTATTTTGACATGTTGAATTTTTATGAATTTAGTGTTTTCTTGGTGAAGTTTGAGGCTAAAATCTTTGTTGCTTGACAATAGTAGATGAAATTAATTTCTTGAGGATCAATCCTCTTGGGTGTATCTCCATTTTATTTGATATTCTTAATAGGAGGATTTGATTTTGATAGAAATATTATTGCTTATTAGTTTCATTTTTGTGTCTCGTTTTCTCCATCTTTTATCTTTAGTTTTTTATTTATTTGCTTTTTTTAATTCGATATTGTATCATTTTCTAAGTTAGTGAGATTTCAAGAAGGTAGGATGTTATCAGATTAAAGTCTTATTTTTGTGGGGCAATCGATTACCTTCAATAGACCATTGACTCAGAAAAATATTTTTAAAGCAGATTTTAAAAAAAAATATGACAATAAAAGAAAAAGATATACAAAACTAATATTAAAGAAACAAATAGTAATATTGTTGATAGCTCTACGACATAAAAACAAAAAAAAAAAGTGTGATTTTGAATGAACTGTCGATGGATAGGACACCATATAATAGATATTAGTATGTGACTACTAAATATAATCATTAATTATTCCTTTAAAACTCAAGCATGATGAATTTGAGTAAATTAAATCAAATATAGTCTAGATTCATTTGACTAATAGTTTATTTACGATTAATATGACTATGTTTTAGGCTTTTAGCATTCTTTTTAAGTACAAGTTAATTCATTAAGTTCAAAAATTAAGTCTTTGTCTAAATCGAGAAGGACCTAAAATACCCTTCAAGTATAGGGAATGAAACAAAAGTACCCTTCTTCCATCTTTGGGCTCCAAAGTATTCTTTCATCCACCTATATGGACCTATATTGAAAAAAAATCGCCTAAAACGGACATTCACGTACAAAAGTTATGACCATTTGAAGTTTCACAAATTTACAGCTACTTTTTTTGAGTTTCATTTTTTTAATTTAGTCAAACATAGTATGACCGTAATTTTTAGCTCGAATATCCGTTTGACGCGAATTTTTTTTATTCTGAGTACTTTTACGAGATCTACGTGGTAAACTCAATTCCTTTATTTGATTTGATTTTTTTCTCTTTATCATACTTTTACTTATATAGATTAATAGTTACACGAACATAAATGTAAAACTATAAATCCTATAAAATTAATGTTTAAATTAAAAAGTGATGCCCCTTACATAACCAAATGAAATAAGATTATTAATAGCAACAAATTTCAATATCCAATTTTGCGAGTTCAAAAATGCTAGAAGAGGATGGATGATTTTGTCACTGCCTCATTATTTATATGATTCATTGGTCCAATTAATTGATGTATAATGATGGATGCATTTTATTTAAGAAAAATTTCTCTGCTTGGACAACAAAAATCAATATAGATTTGGTGAGTTCTACTCGTTCAATAGTATTTACATTTTTTTTGTTCGTTACCACCATAATTGCATGCTTGTTTTTCGGTGAGTTTCGAAGTTGTTAGACATATTGGGGTGTGGATGAATTAAGGTTTGATTGATGATTGCAAGTGGGGATCCCTTGTGCGATGAGGGTGACACCGGGATTCCATGAGTAGCTCAAGTGGTCTAGTCAATTAGCCTTAGCCCCCACAAAAGAATGAAATGAACTATGTCTTCTTAAGGATGTTCTACTTAGTATGTGTGGTGAAATAGGATGCCATCTATGCATTGCACAAGTAGGCATTTAAGATAAGTCATGGTATATTCCTTATGATGCTCATGAAATAAATGTGCTCTTTTGCTAAATATCAATGAGAATGATGGCTTAGTTTATTGATTGAAGTTGATCTTAATGTAATATGTAAGCCAATGAAGAATGTCGAATAGTACTTAATGAAAAGATGCATGTTACACTTGGATTGTATTTTTGTAACGATCCTAAAATAGAATAGGAGGAACTAGAGCCTCATATGTGTGTTTGAAGTTGGTACATTGATTATATCATAAGAAATTTCTTTTCAAGTCTAGTTTAAAGAGTTTTGAAGTTCAACGTCAAGGAACGATCATGATGTTTGGAAATTAGACATTTAAATTAATGTGTTCTAGTGACTTATAGTGGAGTTTCAGAGTATTGTTTGAAGGTCGAAATCAAGATAAATGTTTCTCGTACTTAGAACGACATATTTCGGGATTAAATATCTGGGTACGGCTCCCCAATGACCACCCAAGGGGTCCTTGAGTTGTCAAAACAGCCCTATCTACGCCCCTTAGACCAACTTCAAGGGGCGTTTGATTTCACCTTTGAGTTGATTCCAAAATAACTTTTCCAGATTTTAAGTTCATGAAAACTAGGATTTTACAAAACTTCATGGGTTCTTTCCTTAAATAGTTTTAAAAAAAGTTTCTAATAACATTGTATGGTTATACATGGAGCAATACAGGTTTGTAATAGCTATTCAGACGTCTTTTTTGTAGATGTCCGTTAAGACGTTATCTATAGATCCAGTACGCCCTGAAGGCCAAAACAGTTAATTTTGAAGGTCAAACACGTTGTGAAGTAGGTAAATTCCCCATTTTACTTGTGTGCTATAGTCCATGGATTTTTGGTGATCCGGAATTCCAACGTTTTTTTTGCCCAAATTTTTCGTGGACATCCCTTAAGAAGTTAGACATGGAGCTAATTGGCCTTGACGGCCAAAATGGTCCATTTTCAAGGTCAACCAATCCCTGGAGTAGGTATACCCCATTTAGCTGATTTTCGTGTGCTATAGTCAATGGGACTTTTGTAATCCAAAATTCTGACGTCA